CGCGACTTGTCGCCGATGGACTCGTCCAACTACAGCTGCGTCTACGTGGACCCCGCGCGGCCCGTGGGCTCCGCGCCCAGCGCGCGCCTGGAGCTGCGCGTGGACGGTGAGGGCGCCGCGGGCGGCTGTTTCCCTGGGATGTGAGCCCCGAGGCGGCTGAAATCCCCTTCGCTTCCCGTGTTGTCTTTTAAAAAACATATTTTATTGATTTTTTACAGAGAGGTAGGGAGGGGGACAGAGAGTTAGAAACATCGATGAGAGACAAACATCGATCAGCTGCCTCCTGCACGGTCCCCACTGGGGATGTGCCCGTAACCCAGGTCCATGCCCTGGACCGGAATCGAACCCGGGACCCTTCGGTCCGCAGGCCGACGCTCTATCCACTGAGCCACACCGGTCAGGGCTATTTTTTAATCTATTTTTACTGATTTCAGAGAGGAAGGGAGGAGAGATAGAAACAGCAATGATGAGAATCACTGATCAGCTGCCTCCTGCTCGCCCCCCACTGGGCAATCCCGCAATCCGGGCAAGTCCCCTGAGCGGGAATGAACCCCGGACCTCTTGGTTCCTGGGACAACACACTCCATTGAGCCACCCAGGCCCTGTGCGCAGGGTGAAGGGTTAAGGTGCAGCCCTCGCGGCCCTGGGTCTGCCTGTCCCTCCGATGTCCTCACCAAGGTCCCGGCGGGCAGGGGGCTGGGCGCGCAGGTCCCGCCTCCCGACCTTTGGCTGGGCTGCGCTCTGCTCCGCGGGGAACACCATTTCCAGCCTCATGTATTCCTTCCCTCGCCTGGGGCCCTGCTGCCACATGCGGGGGACCCTCCCCAAAGCCCCAGAACTGGGCCCAGGTCCGGGGGACTCTCAGGGTCCTGAGGACACCACCGGTTCCAGGGACGAGCTGTGAGGGCGGTTGTCTCCGTTCAGGGCCAGGAAAGGGGAGAAGGGTGTGGAGGGGAGGGCCTGGTGCCGGGGTGGCTGCCGTTGGAAGGGGGACTAACCTGCCCCCCCGCCCAGGACCCCTCCCCAA